TTACAGTACCCACCCGGACGACCAAGAGTGAGGTACGAATCGATCTAGCTCCCTGAACAAGTTCTCTTTCGAGGTAATTATCGAGACCCCGTGATCCAAATCCAGTCGAAATCAACGCTCCAGACGATGGTAAGTACTCATGTACTTATTTAGAAGTGATTAAAAGTGAAATAGTGCGGTTTTTCGGTAAAGCAGTTGGACCACGTGGAATGGCGTCGCTACCTCTGGGAATGACGCCAACACCGATACTCATGGTTTGAAAGGTAGAAAACCCTTCAAACAAATCCAAATGCTCCCTGGAAGCTACCTGAAATTATTTGAATGATAATTACGCTACCTGAATAAATCCGAATAGTAATAATGCTACCTACCGGAACTTTTGGGCTAAATTTCATGCTTTATGCGTCTCGCTATGGCGATTGATGCCACTCGCTACCTACTTCACTGCTACCTTTTTTTTTGCTTGTTACCGTTTCTCGCTCTCTTNGCTACCTATTATCGTAGAAATCATTTGAGACCGTAAGCTGCCTATTTTCATGGAGAAAACCTCCATTTCCGGGTTAGAAATGCTCTCTTCCGGTAAATCAACCACGTGGCTAATTCAAGCTCCCTAGCTCATTTTGCTACCTTTTCAGTGGATGAGATTCCCGATTTTAATGCGCTTCAAATGGCGTAGAGTTAGGGAAACCATTACAAAGGCGCTCCAGAATTCGGAATTCGATTAATTACAGTCGAAAATACGAAAAATTAGTACCTTTTCGTAAGCTCTCGCTTTATTCCGCGTAGCTATCTCATCCGTTCTCTCTCGCACGTACGCTACCTTCCTATAGTCTCTCTCTCGGATTCGTGTTCCCCTCGTGGACAATACTTTTGCTTCTCTCTATCAGCTTTGGATTGGGATCGCTTCCTTTGTCATACTTTCATAATTATTAATCGCATCTTTCGAGTCTTTTGGAGTAGTGGATCATTTCAGAGTATTTAAAATTATTTTGAGTCACATTGATGTAATTTTGTATTTGTACGAATTTACGATTTTGTATTAATATCGGCAATAGCGAAACAAGTTAGTACAATTAGGTTTATTATTCAATATTGACCTTACCTATCTCGTCTAGAATTTTAGACATTGGTTTATTGGTTTTTCCATCGATGATTGGCTTTGTTAATTGATGTTCTCGTCCACGAATCCACCCCTCTCTCCACGACCCGCACACTGAGCAGCCGAGTAAATCCCGTACCCTCGTAATCCACATTTCTGCGTATGGTTTGCGATATGTTTCTTGTCGTTATTGGATTTTTGGGGACAATCAGTATTTAGTTTTAAGAAAATACGGTTCCGTTTGCGGTTTGTCGATTCCGCGTTGCTAAAAATCGGCTGGCGCCCTAAATACACGAAATAAGGATTGGATGAGCTGCTGATTGTCCCCGAAGTCCAGTGTTAGCGTTATGGTTTTTGGCGTTTCAGACTTGTCGGATTACGAGAACGAAGGTAATGAGTTGGCCGTGTTTGGATAATCGAGACTTCTGGGTTAGGGTTTATTGAGTATTTGTTGAGGCCAAAGAAATATCATTACAAAAAATTGAGGAAATTTATCGAAAGTAACTTTAATTTTCGAGGCCTTGCTGAGTCCTGAATAAGCCTTGACGTACTGAGCCTGAATACTGAAAGCCTGGACTCGGCCTGAATTGAGCCTCACCAATGGCCCCTTTAATCATCCTCATTTGAAGCTCAAGTGGACGATGAAATCAAGCCTATCCCAGGCCTGAATAACTGAGCCTCGCCAACCCTGGGCTCATACAGGCTTGTTCTCATCGTCAGCCTATGTAATTCTTACCTGGAAACTCGGAATATATTTATCAGAATTTTCTGGTTTTCTCGTCATTTTCAGGGAAAAATGGAATGAAAATTGACAGTTCTGTTTGATTTTTCCATGAAATTTTGAATTTTCAATGATAAGACTTCCTGAAATTTCAGTAGAACTTGAAAACGATAAAAATTTTCGGAATTTGACAGGGAAAATTCAGACAAAATTTTTAACAGTGTAGATATCCGGCAGCGGTCAGCCTGAGGTGTTGGACAGTCGGAATCAAAAACTTTCCTGAGAAGATACGCTGTCGCGTATTTCGATAAATTGAGGCATGTAGAATTTTTTTCCGGGAATCCATAGCAGGGACTACCTTTAGAGATTATGATTAAAGATTATGTCCCGCTGGTTTTTAGAGGTGGGAAACAAGGATGTGAGTGAGGATTGGGTAAAGTGGGGGTAAATCTCAGAGGTGCAATCTTCTCAATTCTACTGTACTTCAGGTTGAAAAGAGAGGTGTTTCAGCGTTGAATACATCGGAGGGTCAAAACTAGTCAATAATAGATCATCACATTGGTTACTGAGTAATTTTTTTTTTTTTATTCGATTTATTACGATTTGCTCTAGATACAGTACTCATGATTAGGCCTGCACTCGGTTGACCAAATTAGCACCGAATATTATGCTCGGCATACCTTATCAGGGCCAAAGGGTTTACCGAGTCGATTTTCTAGACTGCCGAATGGTGGAAATGAACTAGTGTGTAGGTGCCAGTATCCGACAGTCTTAAGCAGAATCCCGGGATAAAATATTATATGTAACGGACAAAAAGTGATTCTGAACATTTCAAAAACAATAAAAATTAAAAAAATCGTATGAATAATCCAACTGTAAATAAATATTAACGTAAATAAGTCGATGTGTCCAATGACCCAGTATCCGACAGCCGAATATCGCCTACTGTCGGTGTCAAAAGGAGTGACCACTCGAAACAGACGTCTATAACTCGACGAAAAAAAATCGAAAAAATATGAGACCAATCAAACTATGTAACATAAATATTTCACTCACCCAGTACGAAGTTTCAAGTTTTTAATTTGCTTAGTTTATTTATAATCGCCGTGAGAAACCGAAAAACCCCCCGATTTTCCGGGTCCGTAAAAGTCGGCAAACTTTGAACCGCTATCATACGTACGAAATTTTTTTTTTTTAATCGTCAATTTATCCAGAGATTCGTTGAACCCTTGGAGAAGCCCACGAGAGAACAAAAAAACTCAGTATTGTAATAATTATTTATTTAATTAATAGAAATGTCGACTACGGCTATCTCGTTGTAGAATTGCCGAACCGACCTGAAAAAAAACGATGCATTCTGAAGTCAACGTAAAACACATTCGGTCAATATTTTTCTAATAAACAATCTCCGTTGATTTAAAAAAAAATCGAGAAAATTCGTCAAAAAAGTGCTGTTAAAACGATCATAACTCGTTATGGGGTTTATGGGCCCGCTCACCGTCGGTCCCTCAAAATTGAAAACACATGTGCACCTGCCTACCTCTTTCAGGGACGTCGATACCAGTTACCGTCGTTTGGGCCCTCTCGGGATAAGCAACGTGCAGTGTATTTGCGCCCCTGAAAATCGGGGGGTTTTTCGGCTGCTCACAGCGATTATAAATAAACTAACCAAATTAAAAACTTGAATCTTCATATTAAATGAGGGAAATACTTATATTACACAGTGCAATTGGTCCCATAGTTTTACGATTTTTTTTCGTCGAGTTATAAACGTTTATTTCAAGTGGTGTCTGCTTCTGACACCGACAGTAGTTTCAGTATCCGACACTACTGAGGATTCAGCAGCCGAAACCGTGTACGAGATTAGGTTCATATTGTCAAATAATTAACAAGATCGAAAAACTGTAAATATTTATTAGATAAATCGTCATAAAACAGAACATAGAATAAATTTTATATTCTTTGTGATCCTTGAAAAATACGAAAATGAATATTTGCGATTTATTTCATAACGCCCCCATGAAAGGGACCACTTTGTCGATTCTAGTTTCCGAGATATTTACGTTTTTATGTAACCGACTCCCATTTACACCAATGTTAAATTGTTTTTTTCATCTTCTCTAGCGATGTCATTTTTAACGCTATGGGGATCATTTTGGGCTTAAAATGTGCGAAATGTTATCAATATCATCAGAGTATACATAACTCCATCTCGACAAAGTGGTCCCTTTTCATGCGGACGTCCACAAATGATTAATTAATTAATTACAGATGATTGTGATGTTCGTCTAACTGTCGCATTCAAAAAATCGTTGAGAGGCGAGATACAATACAAAAATAATATTAAGGTTAGATAAACAAAAAACACGGGTCGGATAGTAGGACAGACTGCTTCACCAATGTCCCAATATCCGAAATCGTGATTTTTATCCGCTGTGCATGTTTTTGAGTAATTTAGGAGTCTCTACGCATCCCTGACATCATCCCACTAGTATCCGAAAATATTTAATTGGGATATTCACTCATATTCTGCTTTTTCGCCATCATATACAAAAAAGGGGCGTTAACCTATTTAATTAAGAAACTGTCGCATGAAACAAACTGCAGGTGTCGCATAGAGGCAGACCGATGGAAATAGTATATTATGTCATCAGGCGATAAAAGTATTATCTGGCAAATGTGATTATAATCCTCGCCTTCGGCTCGGATTATAAAGCCACATTCGCCAGATAATACTTTTATCGCCGTGTGACATACGATATTTTATATCATTGGGCCCGAAAACCGCGATCTAACCGAGCAAAGCCAGGTTAAAATCGTGGTTTATCGGGCCTAATGACAAAAAGTATTTTGAAAGTTATTCTACACATAGAAGTAAAAACTCGCAGTTTAATCCACAGAAAAAGAGTTTCTCTTCCTATCGACTATTGAAAGAGAGTGCTTTTCAGTTGAGAAATACCAAAAAAAAAGCGAAATATCAAGGAAAGTGGGCTTGACTGTTGGATACTGGTGCCTCCACGGTAACATCTTAGCCCCTTCAGTATTTCCTATTCTTGAAATGTCATTTTTATGAGATACATTGTCTGTTGACGTTGGTAATATGATAACTGGTAGCACGATACTAAATATACGAGTATAAATATATATTCTCTAGAACACAATGACACTAGTTCAAGTACATCACTGGTGTAAAAACGTGTATGGAATTCTGATTTTCGGGATTAAAAAATGGCCACGTCATCCTTTGCGTATCTAGTCTTGCCATTTTTTTGCGCAGTGCCGATACCGCAGGTGAATGTCTACAAAAATAATTAGTAATTTTGAAAGTAATTATTCGAAACGAGTGGAATATTTTATTGCAGATTTATGCAGACACACACTGCCACGATTACTCACCGCAAGAGTGGTGCTCTACTAAAGCAATCGCTGAACTTTGTAAGGTAAATTCAACGATTTGATTAATACAATTTTCATAATTGGCATAGCAGGCCTATAAATAAATATTGAATATTAAATCATTTTTCGACTCCTTCATTCTCCTGTGTAAGTAAGATTCTCCGATATCGAACATTAAAAATTGAAATCCCCCAATGTAGACTGATATTATATAATGTAGGTTTATAGTATTCATAATTTCCCCCATCATCCTTCCGAATAATAGAATTGTAGTATTCTACGTCTCGGGGACCAATCAGAAGAGAATTATATCGAGAAAGTTCAGGCAATAACATTGACTGTTATTTGATATAGTCAACACGGTATTCGACTGATAATTTTTAGTAATGAAATTCCACTGGGAATTTTCCTCATCCAAATGTCAGTCAATAGAATTGCACTATTCGACTGTTATTTCATATAGTCAATACGGTATTCAGCTGATAATTTTTGATAATTCAACTGGGAATTTTTTATGTTGACTATGTTTGTGAAAAATAAAAGATTCCGTGGTCGAGTGAACCCCTGGTTGGAACTGTCAGATGGATTTTGTTTCGTAGTGCAATTTTTTTGGCCGACATTTGGATGGGAAAATTCCCTCCCGAATAATACTCGAGCTTCAAAATTAATCGAGTAATTCCCTCAAGGTTCCCTGCACACCAACGAAGTCGTCAATTTTTTCAGAAACAATCACTCATGCTTCGCACTCGTGATTTTTTAACCTGACAAACTTGACTCCTTCGTTTGTTTGCAACGAACCTGTCGGGAATTGCTCGATAATTTTGAAGCTCTCGTGGTATTACTTGCGGTAATTTTTCATGTTGATATATATATACGAAAAAACGACAGATGTTGCCTCGTCGGAAATGACAGATAGATTTTATCTCATAGGGGAATTCTCTTAGCTGAAATTTGGATGGAACAATTCTCTTCCGATAACCACTCGAGCTTCAAAATCAATCAGGTATTTTCCTCAAGGTTCCCTACATACTAACAAACTGATCAAATTTTTCAGGAAAAATCACTCGTGCCTCGCACTCGTGATTTTTTAGCCTGTGAAACTTATATTCGCTTACATACAACGAAGTTATCGGGAAATACCTGATCATTTCGAAGCTCTTGGGGTATTATAACCGATAATTTTTGGTTATACAGCTGTTGTTAAGCAAGCTGTTGCTAAGCAGGCACCAAAGCTGTTTCATAGAATTTTAAACTACAACATTTGAAAAAGCATTAATAACATTTGTAAAGATGAGTGAGAAAAAAACGTGTCAAGACTCAGCCTCTATTGATTGAGATTTAAATGACGAGAATAATCCGCTGAATACTCCTTGTGCTTGAAAATGAATCGAGTATTTCCAAATAGGGGAATGTTACATAATGTTAATTCAGCTAGTGAAAAATCCACCTCAAATTTCTCAATATTTCAAACCTGTTTTTGAAACTTATTAAATTTTATCTCCATTTCGGAATCAACTAACCTCATTAATTGACAATTGAAAAGGGTTAATTTGATCGCACAGTGAGTATCGCTTTCACTAATTCTATTTCATTTTACTCATAAGTGAAGTTGTTTTCACCTTTACAGCTTGGAGTGAAATTAAACTCAACTTTTTGCGTGTAGACTTGATGTTCCATAGAATTGTTATGATAGTCTGTAAGACGAATAGAGTTGTTAACCGGAAACTTATTTTGGATAAACTTGTTATTATATGGACGGTAAAGAAATACATGAAATTATTCAATTACATTCATTTTCGATACTTCAAGGTAACTCACCATTGCCAACAATTTGTGAATCGAGACCTACCTTTAAGTTTCTCTGGAGATGCAGTGGGGACTTCAAAGAAACTAATAATAAATGGTAGAGTGGTCTACGAAAAACCTCGACAAACTGACGCAACGTACGGTAGAATGGTCTTCCAATCCCCAGCCAGGCCTGACAGGAACAATGAATATTTTAAAAAATTAGCGAGGATTAGGACCTTATTCCGTACACAGATGTCAAAAGAATCTGAAGAATACTATAATAAAATGCTCGCCGAGCATACAAGTACGGATAATTCGCCATTTGATACCAATGTGTTCGTACCATTCAAAGAACTTGATTCATACGGGAATTTCAAACATGCCGTCACAATACCTAAAGTCGAAGAAAAAAGTTCGTCAACAGCCTGAACTTCTATCTTATGTATTTTGTTCACGAACTTTAGTGTTCGACTGCACACCGGAGTTGTGATGAATGTAATGAGCGTAATTCTTAAGAAATGCCCCATGGAATATTACCTACATTTTCGGTAGTAATACTGTTCGTGTTTCGAAATTACCAATTATTTTTTGATAACTTTATTGCATAGGAAAGAATGTGTCATTTTTTATGCAAAGTTTTCCGCATTTTCCCTATGTAGAGAAGCTTGAGGAAAATAATAATTTTAGAGCATAAGCGGTATTTCGTGGAATATTTCTTGTACTTGGACGTCGACTAATCAGAGAGCATTTCTAGGAAGAAACGAATGCAGAGCTCGGTGAAAATTTTCGAAAATAAATGTTGAGTAGCCTTAGATATTACGCTCTGATTGAATGACATCCGAGACAAAGGAATATTCGTTTAAATAACTAAGAAAATAATGTTAATGATAGATTGTAATTCAATAAATTGAAAAATCAACAATACTTGCCACATTTCTTCATCCCTGGACATGGAGAAATTTTTAGTATCATTCTTGTGAGATTCTCAGGATTTCTCCGATATTTATCACCTGATGTTTTGGATACTGCAACATCTGTTTTTGCAAAAGAAACGTGAAAAGACTTCGTCAAGAATGAATCTTCATTTTTTGCTGAAAATATCATTTTCGCTATGAAAACAGTGAGAAACTCGTGGCCCTGTCGTCTAAAATTGCAGAAATGGTTTCACTTGTATTTATACTAAATATAAATTATTACCATGTGATGAATTAGATTAACACTATCTAGAAGCGATGTCTCATTGCATTTGTAAAATTACGCGTCACTATTAGAGTAAGTTGCTTGAGTAAATAAGCGTAACTGCAGTGGTCGCCTGTAAATGTTCGATCGCTATGGGCCCCAGTAGAAATTTTAGTACTGGCCGGCCGTGGTTCTGTGCAGTAGGAAAGATTCGGCCCTGTTATGGTTACCACATCAGGGCCTGATAGGAAATGCAACGCAAAGCATGATCAGGACCTGGTTTCTGAACCTGATAAGAGCCGTGACAGGCGGCCTGGTTTCGCCCTTACCTGGCATAGACTTATTAAATTGGGTCAAATATGAATAATAAATAAATAAATAAATAGTCCCAGAATAGGTGGGTCGAGAAAAAAAAGAAAAAAAAATCACCCAGAGCGGGACTTGAACTCGGGACCCTCCGCGTAGTAGTTCGGGGGGCGTATTCTCGAGTTTGAGGTGAACGGATTTGTGAAGGGAAGTGGCTCCGTTCACGTATCGCGTTGGGAAATGAAAGTTTTCGTAAACGAATCTTAGATCCACATGTGAATCAATTTCGTTGACGGATGTCGTTTTCGATTCACACGTGAGGATACAGTACTCGTACTCGTATGAGGACACAGTTAACCTCTTCTGGGGAACGAAACATTAAACATTAATTGTTTAAATTTATTTATTATAGTTCAACTCTTTGTTCTACAATAAGTTGAAAAATGGATAATTTGCGGAAATACATCTATTACGATGTACCCCAAATGCAGAGTATCACGACGTGTGAAGTTCGCGACTTGGGAATCAGTGTGCGAATTGAAAATGACTTCCGTGAACGAAATTAGTTCACATGTGAATCTAGTATTCGCTCACGGAAACTTTCGTTCCCCACCGGAATGCGTGAACGGAGCCACTTCCATTCACACATCCATTCACCTCAAATTCGAGAATAGGCCCCCTGTACCCTATCCATTCGACCACCGTATCAGTCTTAAAAATGATCGTTTGTTTTGAGTAGATCAATAATACTGCCAATAAAATTGTAGTATAGAACTAAATCTAGAATAATATCAATTTGTATAATTTTCCTGATCATCATCCCCCCTCCCCTCCGACTCACCACCCTTTACCATTTCCACCCCAACTTTTTGTTTAGTGAAAATGTTTCCAAGTCCCGTACGGCATGCCTTATCCGGACCTAATCATTGCCGGATCAGGTTCATCGTATTGAACTTCTAGAATTTTCGAAGTTAAGGATTCCCGACATACCTTACCGGGTCCTGATCATGGCCGGATCGAGTTGGCCGTATCCGATATACTCAACAAACACTCGTGTTCAATCAAACCAGGCTGAAAAAGCCTTCGGGATTTCCCTTATCAGACATGCCTGATGTAACTTCTATTTTTCTCTATTACGGTACGCTCAAAAGGCCCTGACTGGGGCATGATCAAGCATGCCTGCTTGAACTTTGGAATTTATTGGTAAGGTGAACATGCAATGGTCCCCTTCAGGCCCTGATCTGGCATACCGTATCAGGTATACCGTATCGATACCGGAGCAGGGCCTTCTCTGCCAAAAGGCCTGCCTGTCGAAATTTTTACTCGGGGTCATGGTGCACATTTGAGGCTTGGGTCTTATGAAAGAATAACAAACAACTTTAGAAACATCTCGAGTTAATGCTTCGAAATAGGCATCGGATCATCTCGAATAATGTTTACGGCAAATTGGGCTGGAAAAGGCAAAATAGACTGGAAAGTCAAAATTTTTGAAAAATACAAGGAAATGAAAAAGGAAGCTATGTCAGGAATGTACAATGACTAATGATAATATACAATCAGATTTCTATAAGAAAAATAGTTCTCGATCGAATAAGGATTTAAAAAATTCTCCATGAAATAAAAAATCAGTAGGAGCAGGACCAACGTCCTTCGCGCGGATGAGAATGGAGGATTAGATTGATACAGTGACTTCAAAAACTCTGTGCCAAGAAGAGATACGCTACCGCGTATCCCGATTTTAAATAAAACACCACACTCAATGAAAAAAAAGGCAAGATTAAGTTATACACCTAATAGTTCATGGCTCTTGTGTTACTCTCTCTCCTTGGCCCTTATTATTATTGGGTCTCCAAATTCGAGCATTCTCATGAAAAATTAGAGTCAAGGGCTCATTATTTAATCCCAATTAATTATTGGAAATCTCCTCAATCTCGTCAAAACCCCACCTGAAACCCCATCTCTCTGTCCCACCTGAAGGTGGTTCCACCGTACAAGCCCAACGGGGGAACCAACTTCAGGTAGAACAGATATTATTTGAAATGAGATAGAATAAGCGCATGATAGACTGATCCTTAACCGAATTTACGTAAGAAAAATATCTAAACATTGAACAATAAGTGAACGAAAACCAAATTCAACTAAAATGTCTGAAAAATCGTTAAGTTTAGATCTGAATCTGATTATGAATATCATTCTACAGATCTAGGAAATCGATTCACGCAGCAAGTAACCAATTCTCATAGTTCTCCCGTATTTAAGGTAGCTTTAATATTTCATTAAGGTAGCAGATAACTCTAACCTTCCATATAAAAATTATCACAACAAAAACGCAGCTATTTCTCAATTTTTAATCTCATTGTCTGTCTCTATTTCCCGCATAAATACTCTACAGAATGCGGCTGGAATTTCGTCACAAATGTATCGGTGGAAATGGATTTATCGGCACTTAAACTTTGTTTTTTTTTATATTTACGAACGTATGTAGCAGATATAAATATCTCAGATTATCTAGAAATGTCTTATTATTTTGAAATTTCCAAAGTTTAACACTACCGTGAAATCGTGGAAAATTACATTGTCTGCACAAACGCGAATACCATATTTCTCTATTTAACAAAATGAAATCTCTATGTCGATTTTTGCTCGTCGTAGTTCCCATAATTCAGTTTACATTACTTCCGCAGGTAAAAATTCGAGCGAAAAATCATTATCAAACGAAGAATGTCTGAAAAATAATTCCAAATTTTATTCAATTTCTTGCTTTATTATAGAGTTGTTGTCTGTCGCAATGCGATGATATTCCAATAGAATATTGGTGTAGCCAGGAATCCATCGCTATGGAATGTGGGGTAAGTTCAATATTTGATGAGCTCAATGCAATAGTAAAGTAGTGAGTGGAGAATTATCCCCTTATTCTGGAATTGGCCAAAGGCCTTGATGCCAACCCAATACTAATATCGTGCACCAATGATAGAGAGTCATTTTTTCCCGATCCGAGGTGACCATACTATTTTTCAACTGATGTGGAAGTGAAAATAAAAATAAATCAATAATTTAAGCCGTGATATCATACAGAGAAAAAAATCCATATCTCATTCAATGACAATTTTGTTACACTTCTGAAATGTAAGTCTTTGTCTTTCTGTTTGTATCTATTAGAGGCTTTATACGACTGATTAAGAAATACAAGACTGACCTCGAAATATCTCTCTTCCATTCAGTCGCGCTAAAATTCTCTTCTGTAATTAGACCTCACGCCCCATATATTTTAAATAATCTTCTTTGAATGCTTGGTCGTAACAATATATTCCGCAAACACTCATCTTGTCACGAAATAGCCTCATCTCGTCTTATTACTCCACTCTTCAACACCTTCAAAGATAATAATGATGGAGTAATAGATACAAAAGTATCTTCAATTCATCACTTTCAATTTAAGGTGCACCACCTTTGTCCTGAATTTACGCGTCATGCGTGGAGATACCGCCCAGGTTTCTCTCCAGCAATATATGGATATAGATACGAATCACCACCTGAGAAAGAACCAGTGACTCAGAAATCCGTTACCGAAGATTCAACCTCTAATCCTGTACAAGGTAAGGAAATCTTCTACACTATTTTCCACATTTTTCGAAATTTGAGTTATAGCTGCTTCCGAATTTCCAATATCATGTTTTATTGGAATTCAATTTAACAATGTTCAAGAGAGGTAAAAAAAATACAGCAAATTTTTTGGCATTTTTTAAGTACATTCTTTGATATATTGGGATGCTCTGTGTGGAGTTTCAAATTGCTGAAGTTAATGATTCGAATGGAATAAATTATTTTAAAAAACGGAATTTAACCCGTGTTCTTATGGGGAATCTGGAAAACCGCATAGACTGAATGTAAAAATGCAGCTAATGTCACGAAACTTCGCCCACGTGTGACATATTAATGAATACATGTCCTACAAACAAAAAAACATCGGTTGGATTCGTTTTTTAGCCAAAATTTACAAAAAACCACTAAAAATCCGAATTCCTGCGCGCGCAGCTGTGAGGTGCGAAAACGTAGCACTTGCCAATCGGGTGGGGGTAAACGCGGTAAATGCAAAGATGAATAAAGGACCGTTGTAGACTACACATGGAGAGAAATGTTCAGTAAAAATTACGGAATTCACAATTCGCTCACCGATTACGGAATCGACTCAGAAAATTTAAGTGATGGTATCGTAATTTTTCACAGGAGATTCAGATAAAAATTGCGGAACGCTGTGGAAAAATTCCGTGACAGTTCCCTAAAATTTCCGATGACTACAATTCGCTCCAGAATTACGGAAAAGATACATAATTTTTATTGAATATTTCTCTCCGTGCACGATATCCGAAGATAATTTTCCCGATAATAGATATCAATGAAATTCATAAGAATTTTGCTCTTTAACACACTTCCCCTTGAGAGAACCCATTGCTTCTGCAGTGGTCTCTGTTTGAGGTTAAGCCGAATACAGAGACAGCACTTGGTACTGTCACTCATGTGGGAATCATTCGTGAGTCCTCACTTCATAGAGACATCTTGAGATTCATTTACTATTATTTTGCTTGTCGATAGTTGATTATAACGATGTAGTAAATGAATTTTTTGGATAAACGTATATTGATGGAAAAAAATTACCTATGTTCATGCGCGTGACTACGTACAGCAAGAACCCTCCATGGAGAGTGGCAGGCCGACCAGCTCTGAGGGAAAAAAAAACAGGCGTCGGGCCGACGTTGCCAGTTTTTTTTTACACAAATTAATTATTTTCCATTTATTATAAAAATTGTATATAAACGTTTTTTGACGCCTATAGGATGTAGGAAAAAAATTAAATAGTTATAAAAAATATTATTTGTCTACAGAAGAATCTAAATATGGTCGTATTATTCGATTGAAGGGAACCGAATTTTCGTGTTCAGCGATTGGTTTTCTACAGGAATACAATAGATTCCCCTTATGACCAGACCCTTATATTTTTTGACCCTTATTTTTTCTGAATCTTTTTTTTCTAACTCCTATACTTTTTTAATCCTATTTTTTCTAACCCTCACTTTTATGACCTTTATTTTCACGCGGACGAGATGAGAGAACGATCTACGATCGATGACACGAGATGAGAAAATTCGTCTTCTCATATTTGGGACTTCCCATATTTAGGCACTCCTCCGTATGTGTGCCCACTTACCCCCTTTCAACACTTCGCCCGCGATTCTTGAGGGCAATCTAAAAATTTATAAAAATGATAAAAATTCCGCAATGTTTCAAGAAATTTTTTTTCTCAAGAACAATCCACAAATCCATTGGTTTTTATTATCCAACCAAGGATGAAGCTTAAGAAGAGAATATACTAGAATCTAGACACTCCTTTCTAGAGTTGATCAACTTTTTTTCTTTGTGTAGAGGACAACATTGAAGAGTCGTCAAGAGCAGATCATGAATTTGCGCTTGGTGAAGTGACTGTTCATCATCCTCCAGGAAACTTCAGACGAATGACGAATGACGAATTTGTGTATGGTGAGGTGATCTACCATCCGCCTCCAGGAAGCGAGTCTAGACAATCTCCGGAATCAAATGATAACTGAAACTGTTGAGTGTAGGGGAGGGAACACGGAAAAAATATATAATTATTTTTTGTGGTAGAAACAGTAATTTTTAATGTGAGAACGTCGAATGCAGGACCCGATCTACCGCACTCGAAAATTTACTGTTGAACATAGTCAAAATAGGGAGTTGGTATAATAGAAAGTAGTAACATAAAAGTAAAATTTAATTTGACGTGAGTACAAATTCGGCTAAAATGAATAAAATTTTCGAGTTTTTCAATATGGTCCTCGATTTGTATGCTTACACAGTAATTTTTAATTTTATATTCTTTCCGGGAAGTTTTAAAGAATCAAAAGCAAGTTATAGATTCGACAAATTTTTCGGTTCACTTAAGAATAATGCTTCTTTTTGAGAACATAATGTCATGGATGCCTGCTAATCATGGCAACGAATAGAGGAAGGAATTCTACTCCAAATAAAAAAAACACCATCCGTTTTACCTCAATACTTTTCGAGATATTGCAAAAATCAAGTTTGTCAATTTAATCGTTTTCAGTTGTACTTCCAAAACTGTTGGAGGAACAGTCGTCGTCTTTTCTTCAATTTCAGAAAGAATTAGCTGCTTTTTCGATACCATTTGCCGTACCATTTTCAATACTATCCATTATGTTATCATATTCTCGAACAGGTAGTATTAATCTTAAATCAAGAGACGAGGTTTTAAATCATGAATCCTTGTCCTGCATCGCAGAGATTTTATTTCCTTTGAGAAATTGCAGGATTATGTCTTATTCGGTTCTAACAGGATTTTCTGGAGAATTAGGGGAATTTTTGTAAGAAAATTTCCATAAACTTTCATTAACAAAAAAGGTACAAAAAATTCGGATTCTCTATATGATTATCTTATCGAGAGCCGTACAAGTTGAATAGAAATTCTTAAAATTCTTAATAATTATATGAAAGTTCTTCATTGATGCATTGCCTACCAAAAAATCATTCAATATAACCGAACGATTCCAAAGCACCAAATTTCAAACATCCGGTGAAAAATCGTCGTTGGAGTTGCATCATTCAAATTGAAGAAACAACAAATCAAGAATACGGTTATTGGACATGAATACTAATATTCAATATGTTAAAATTGGCATATGATTTATCTTAATCATCGAAAACAATATTAATTGTGAATGATGGATTTAATAAATCGTGAAGAATAAAATTTCGTGATTTGATTTCTCAAGAAAGCATAAAGAATTATATGAGAAATGAGTTGAACAATCAGCATGAATTTTTACAGTATGTCCGTCGTTTCATTTTTATGACATTCTAAAAGCGTTTCGACCTTCCTGATAATGCACGTGTTAATAAATGTATACCTGATACTGCACGTGGTAATAAATGTTCGACTATTAATATCTTTTATTTCACATTGCGAAATTCCGTCCTACACTAAAAAAAACGTAACTTTTTTAAAGACTTTTTTGGAACATAGCTTCCAGGGGCTATTCACATTCGAATTGAGTGACACCAATATTATAAAATGTAATCGATTACATTCCTGATTACACTGATCGGTGATGACAAACTTAAACTTCGGCAGATCAAATCAAATTACTGACAATGCTTCCCAAGTCATGTTCGATTTACAGAATTAGGCAAACATTCAGCGTTCCTAACTATACAGCGCGCCACGCTTATTGGATCCATCAATAGGAAGGCATTGAAGCTTCTGTTCCCAAAAACTAATCGAGGAATTTCATAGAACCGACGAAATTAGCCGCATGATGCCCGATAAAAAAGATTGCGTTTCAATTAAAATTGACCGTGTCCGGTAAAGCATTCAGAAACGTTTGATCTTAGCTAATTTAAAAGAAGTATACGCCGATAGCAAGGAAAAATTCCCGGATGTGAAAATAGAATTTTCAAAGTTTGCACAATTTCGCCCGTGCGAATTCGTTTGGACCGATAGCAATAGAACTCATTTCGTTTGTATTTGTAAAATCTATCAAAATTTGAAATTAAAATTATTAGAAATTAAAGCATTTCAATTACCGGACGCGCTCGATGCCTGCTCATTTCCAAAGGAATATTCCCAAATGTTGAGTGCAATTATGTGTGAAAACCCCAGTTCATTACGCCACTTCGGCGAATGCCGTAAATGTCCAGGCATAGCGAACATTTAACTTCATTTGCAGGAAATTTGTGACGTAAATTCTATTGTTCAATTGAATTACATAACTTGGACTGCTACTAACCAATCTTAGTTGATCCAAACGTCTGAACAAACGGACTCATTCAAAACTAATTTGTGTATCGATTTGAAGGCCCTCTGACAGCATGCTGTCATTGCTAAAGTTTAAAACCTGGCGAATTCATAACTCTGGGTGACTTCGCAGGAAATTATAGTCTAAATATAGCGGGAAATACAGTTTAAAACGTTTTTTCTTGACGATGAATTTCAGATCCACAACGTCGTATAGTATCAAATCAATAGTTTGATGGATTGTACATTTGTACACCAAAATGACCATCATCTCACGTGTGCTCACCTGACTTTGCACTCTCGTTGCTCACTCCTAATCTTCTTTAATCTTGGTGATATTGGCCATGTTCCCCTGGCCCCAACAATTTTTTTTTATTTCTCCATTTTTAAATCTGTCAATTTACAATTTTTCGTCGGATGTGTTTAATCAATTCATTGTAAATTAAACTTTTTCGGGTCTGGATTTTTTCTCCGAAACTTACACATGTTTTCAATAAAAAAAAAGTTCTATTGCACTTTTGTAATAAAATATAAATTTATCGAGTTATAATTTTAAAAAAAATTACCTACCTTGTCAAATTTTCATTTCGCCTAACATTAAAGAAAAAAATATTTTTTTGTTCAATAACATTTCAAGCCATGCTGAGAACACTTTTACATCATATTTTATTTTCATCGAAATCGAAAAAAAACGGATTGAAATAGTATGGAATGCCTAAAATGTTGGATGAATGGCCATAGGGTACAATCAGATGTCAATGAGGACAATATTTCTCAATCGAAAAAGGACAAAAGAAAAACTCTCTATGAAATAAACACGCTGGGTTGCGAGCTGATTCGACAGAACCAATGTGACCATTACTTTATGCGTTATTAGTCTTTTTTCCTTCTCTCTACTAATTTCATTGGTAATAAGCTTCCAAATGGATCTGTAGCAATGGTTCTAGGATAAATCAGTAGCGAAGTGGTAAAACGGTTCAAGTCGACTTACCTCCCAGATGAGTTTTTGAGGTATATTCTCAAATCTAAGGGAAATCTAAGCGAAATTTTCGTAATCATATTGTTTGGAACGTAGCTATATATCTATCAGTTAAACGGTTGGTCCTACCGACAATCCTCGAGCACCATCGGGAAGCTTCGGTTGAGCGGTCAGACAATCACGAAAACCCCAAAATTCAGTACATCATCAGCCTTTGCAGACGCAACGTGTCGTGTTGTTCAAAGTACATCACCGATCCATCACGTGGAAGTACATCACCTATTCAGATCCAGTGAATTATCAGAGACAATTGTCAAGGACAATTAACAGTTATTTAACAATTCAGTACGTCAACCGCTGTAATTACAATTTGAGACGCTCAACAACCAAGTTCAAACCAAAGTGTAAATTTTACGGTTAATGAAGTTCGATTCCATTAAAATATAGTGACATTTTATAATTCAGTGCTTTATTAATTTCCGGCCTGTCCTGAAACAACAACTCCCATATCCACACTAAAATTAGATCATCTCAAACACACATTTGTTGTAGCTAAAAATTTTGCTATCTCCCTTAGATTGCAAGATATTCATTGAAAACTGGCCAATAGTCAAAATTGACTTGAACCGTTTTACAACTTCGCTACTGAAATGTTCCCCCGAAAATCGTTCTTGGAAAATTGTTCCTCGGAACAATGATTCCTATACTTTCTTTTTCCATTGCGATTTCCGCGTTCATCGTTACTTCATTAAGTATTACATAATATAAAATAGAAAAAATTAATTTTTTTTTACGACGGATAACAAATCAGTAGAAGCAGGGCCAACGTTCTTAGCGCGGATAAAAAGATAGGGGATTAAGTAGATACTCGACAATAAGTCTAAAATCTCCGCGCCAAAGACATTGGTCCTGCATCTACTGATGTTTTATTTCATTGAGAATTTTTCGGAACTGGATTTTAGCCCATCACATCGCAGTATTCGAGGTCACGATACTCTTTTGTTATCAATTTTTTTTGGAAATTCACACTAGCTTCTGGAAATTGCATCTGACAATTTCCTCAATTCTGATTTTGATCAATCAAAGTGCAGTATTCGGGGTCACGTAACGCATTTCATACTGGTAATTTCCCCGACTGCAGGGGAATTATCAGACTGATAATTTCCCTGTAGCCTGTCAATTGTTTTCTACGAATTTGACAGATATTCCTAACATTTTTGTGAAATGTGTCCCGTAACCGTCATGTGTCACTGCAGCCTGATCTGCCAACATCAGAATTGAAGAAATTGTCCTCCGAATACCCCTCGACCTTCAAAATTCATAGATATTAATTATATTATCTCCCTCAAGTTTTCCTACATATCAACGATCGGGATCAGTTTTGCAGTAAAGTCTGTAAGACTGATTCCTCTCGTTGCTATGCAACAAAACATTCGCGAAATATCCGATAATTTTGAAGGTCTTGGGGTATAATAGCTGATAATTGCATAGTAGCTATTCATTCATTTCTAACCAATTGGATGTTTTGTTGGAAGAAGCCCTCGAATACTGCGCTCCGCTTGGCCAAAATTCCGTCCCGAAAAATTCTCCGCTGAATACCCCTCGACCTTCAAAATTAATCGCAATATTTCCCTCAAGCTTCCCTGCAACCAAACAAAAGTGTCAAGTTTTACAGGCTAAAAATCCCGAATGCGTAGCACGAGTTGCGTTTGTTCGCAACGAAGCTATCGGGAAATATTTCGATAATTTTGAAGGTCTCGGGGTATTATAACTGATAATTTTACTCCAATCCTTATTCAATTTAGAAATATTTTTCTCATAGACATCAGATTGTGCTCAATGGCCATTCATTTGCCACTCCTGACTTGGCTTTCTTTTCTTAGTAGTTTAAAAAGATTTTGACTTTTCAGTAAGAACCAAATAAAACTTTTTTTTGGTGCAGTTTCTTTACAATAACATTTGTTTTGGATTTTTAGGGATATGCAATTCCATGAAAAACCTCTTAGCATTCAACGGTTGACATTACAAGTTAAATCAACGTTAAATATCCTCCACTCTACTACTAACACTGTACTAAAATAATGAGATATCCCCCCACGCCAGTGGAATCGGTTACAACAAAAATGAACAGAAAGACTAAAATAAAGTAAAACAAAATATTAATGTTGTCAAATCAATATGCAGTGTGCCCGTAACTAATCAATTTCTCTCCAAAGGCAACATTTATTCACAGAGAACAATAAGAATTAATAATATTCCAAGAGAACGAATTTATATTTTTTATGAACATCTCGAGTTATATTAACTTGCTAGCTTACCAACCCAAAGAGATGATACACTACTTATTGCCAGAAAAGGAGCGGGAATTTGAGGAGTGGTGACCAAGGGGAAGAGCGGGAATTTGATAGAGTGGGGGTACCGGTTCGCGATCTCTTTCTGGCAATAAAAGTTCTATACCATTGAAACTAGCGCGTACTTATAGGCAAACTGACTAGTCCGTTCCCTTTGTAGCTACCCCTACTTTACCAAATCCCCATGCACACCCATATCTCCTACCACTGACAATCAAGAAACTGGTCCGTCCGACAGTAGTGGGTCACATACGCCAGTTTAGCCGTATTTGTCATTAATCCTGAGAATCCCGCACTGTTAAAAAAGTCCAGTCATAAATTACCACACATGTGTAGGAAGTCATTTACACTAGACTATGTGGGTAATTTCGTATGCCGCCCAGCAATTTCCGTTTTGTCTTTGGAAACCCTGTGCTCAATACTGTATGGTAAATTCACAATACCTTACCGTGGTACACGTATCAATGGAAGTCGTACACAAGTATGATCATTTTACTAGAAATTATTACTGTAAATTTAGTTGTGTTTCATTGCACTTTTAATGTTCTAATTATGTAAATTGCGTCTACATTAACATAATTATTCTATAATTAGCGTTACATTAATTCTGTTGCGTTTCGATACGCACATTTGATTATTTTATTGTAAAATATATTCAATTGTCTCAGCGGAAGTCTTCCATTCCCATCCTTCCGTACCCTACTCTCCCCCATAACACTATTCTCTCTCTCTCTCTCTCTCTCTCTCTCTCTCTCTCTCTCTCTCTCTCTCTCTNTTCCGAATGGAAGCTTTGCAATCCTTGAATTTTTCGATTTTCTAATTTTGCCTGGAAATGATGTAGAATGGTCTGAAATGTAAAAATACGAAGTTTGGCGACAATGTCTATCTGTCTGTCCCCCTCCGCAACTTTTTGTAAATTAGGTTTTAGAAAATACAACACTAAGAGGGCTAAAAAAATTATTATAGGTCCTAACTAGGACTAACTCTGGGCACAGGATCAGCTCGATCGGTCCAGTAGTTCCTGAGAAAAAGCCATTTCTTTTTGAATCTTTTTTTGCAAATATCTCAAAAAATTATCGGCCGATTTCATTTTTTTTTCAAAATGTTCGTCTCAACTCCCTTTATCTGGATCAATCGAAACCTATATAGCCGTTCCTGCAAAGTTTTTGAGATAT